CACAATTAATTGTGGTATCATTCACTTGTAGACGGATGTTCCTGTCTACCAGCTACTTTTCGTTTATGTCCACCAGCAAATCATAAGCATAGAGAAATTCAGGTCCAAGAATGGATTGTTTAACTTGTGCGACTGTGAAAATTCATGTGGACGGAGTCCAAGGTATAAATCAAAGACTGCTGTCCATACGTTTTGATAACTGTTTCGCTAACTATCTGGAGTGGCACTACTACTTGAGGCGTGTCGCCCTTATGAAACTCAAGTGGGGTGATGCTGATTTCTGTTCCCGTATCGACTAAAAACGTCGAGCCAGAAATGTGGTCCCTGATATGGAAGAGTCGGTTTGTCGAGTGGTTAGAGACAGTCACAGCTATTACTGTCTGGTCGGCTAGTTTATCTGATTTTCATCATTGAATACTATAAACGTCCACATTCTTGTGCAGCTCCGTGCATTTATGTCGTATTTTTGGTGGTACCAACAAATTTCTGATATTCGCTTGCGTGATCTGGAATGTTGTCTCGAAAATGATTTTCTTCTAGACATTGATCCAGCTCGCCTGTAATGAACAGTAGATTTAGTTGCTTATAATGATGCCAGCTTATTTGACAACTCAGCTAACTGTTGTTGGAATGTGCCTAAACTACTGGTATCCGCTCTGCCATTAGCTTGCACAATGTTTAGATTGTGGCTATCTGGATAGATATCCATCCTTTTGTCTGTTATGTATGCTAAATTTCCCAAAGTAATCGATTTCCCTAACGCACTAAAAATCTGTCCTACATTATGTGGTAAACATTCCAGGCACATTTGTTTCAATAGGGCTTCGTCTATTTTATATGGACCGGCTAGTTGCTTCATATGTCGTAAGAGTCGTGATGGTTTCTTGTCCCAAAGACCACATGCTGTCAACAGCTGATGTAGTCCATTTTCATTGGAGGCCTATTTGCATTGTATCACTGCTGCTTTTAGTTTATCATATGGTTCGTGTTCTGGAACCTGGTCGACTAGATCCCAAACTCCTGCGGCAATTTTGATGAGAAGAGAACCCACTACGTATGCATATTTTGGTGCTTGCAAAGGAATTATCCAAGAGATGAACAGGGCTTCTGTCTGGGCATATTAAATACTTGGGATATTCTCCCCAAATGTCGAAAATCTGAATTCAGATACGGCGTTAACAGTAATAAGCATGGGTTCGGATACTTGATGTCATGTGGTGGAAGCATCTAAGAATGGATGCTCGAAATCACTAAGGTTATTAGGGGAAAACAGTACATGAAAAAGCTTACAACTTTGATAAGATAAACAGTATTACGATCAATGTAACGAGTTAGACTAATGCCTCCACATGAGCATAGCCGTCACGTACAGCTCAACAGACGCCTGCAAACATGCAAATTTGCCTTTGTTACAGTCGGTGCTGTTAAAAAGCCGTTAAAGCAACCCTACAAAGGATCTTACCGAGTGAATAAATGGACAATTAAACATTTCGTCATTAACAAAGATGGGGAGAAGGAAACATTCTCTACAGATAGAATTAAACCTGCTTTCAAAGAAGATCATGAAGACAAATGAAATACTGTCATAGATAAACAATCTTTGCCATCAATTACTATGAAATCAAAGAATGATGAAGACCAAGCAATAACCTTACATGTCTAACACGTTTGTGTAGATTGGTAAGGAAGCCTGGGCGTTACGTTCATTCTGCGCAATAAAACAAACAATCATTGTTATATATTACACTACTAAATCCAACTGTTATCTTTTATTTATTTGAACGTATAAATATTGGTACAAACGGGCAGCGAATAAATATGCACCACACGAGTCACTTGGTTTTTGTGTGAGCCATGACACTGCTCGGGTGCCCAGACCGACGCGGGGGTTTTCTTAGGGGGCCACACACGGAACCTTCGACCTAAAGGTCTGATCCACAAGGTAGTGGAGCAATGTCAGGAGATGAACTACTCATGGTAGCCGGTGACCAACGATTGGTTCATATGCCATTTGTTCCTTCAGGATTCGGGAGCTCATGTATACCACTGGTCTGGAACCAGGGTTTTCCAACTCCCATATGTGGATCTTTCATATACACCAACCCGGTTGAGGCGCCGGACATTCGCTTTTCGTCCTCTCAAGTTCATAAACAAGACCCTTGTCGCGAGAAGGCAGTGAGTAGGACGTCCCTGATAGTGGCTGTATACGCGTGGCCATATGAGAGTATTTCGAGATGGAGAGCTGGCGCTGACCACCCTCGGCCGTATAATGGCATTTGGGGGCAGGTAACTGAGTAGTGTGTTCATGAGAGGTAATCAGTGTCATGCTATGAGGAATTCAAAGCGAAAACGGAAAATCCAAGGTCATGCGCTTATAAACAATTATTTTGTAGACTCATAGTGAATGTGCCAACTATGAGAATTAATGAAAGGAATGCAAATAGTAGCAAAAACTAGCTACAAAATAAGTCTGTCCTAACTATCTTCACAAGATCACTGGTGGTAAATTGATAGTTCATTTCCAGAAGCTCCATATTGCAGGAGACACCTTCCTTCATTACCTCGTTGTTTTTATCGTGAAAATTTTTTAGTTAGTGCAACAGGTTTCTTTGGCTCCCTTCAAAACCAAACCATTAACGACATTAACATGTTCTCAAAATTTTGGATAACTCTAAGAATGAATGTTTTTAGCTAAACGGCTTTGTTGCTGAGACCACTGATGTGTCCGTGTCTGTTTTTATTGCTATTACTGTGATATGCCACAGATTGAATTTATGACAAATCAAGATTTAATGAATACCAAAGTGGTGAAAAATTTACTGGACAAAGTGTAAAGTCAATTGATAATATGTAGATGTACATGTATGTGTGAAAAACTTGGACACTGTTTTTATTGCTAGTTGTAGCGAATCCTATTTGCATGCCTGATCCATAATTATTATGAGCGACAAATAACCCCACATTTGACATATAATCCTAACGAATATATCAGATAAAATCTAGCAATTAGGAAACAAGTGATCTGTAAATGTATATAGTAGTTATGTTGATAGTCTGTCAATGTGACAGCTGATTCCATGAGAACAAGGTGTGCATAAGCAGCATCTTATTTGTGAATAACAATCATTGTGTCTTGCAAGCGGAACTGGAAGGATAACGGAAAAGTCAAAGTTTAATTTAAACAACAATTGAGACCACCTGAAGTGGTAAGGTCTAGAGGATGGCGCAATGTTATAATGTCTTATTCAACAACTTTTGGAATTGCCTAGGTGAGACTTATAATATGTAGGCGTGTGAAAAGTTCAGATATTTTTTTGCCCTTTTAGTTTCAACGTGGCGCGTAACATTTTGTATAGATTATTCTTGCCCATACATCGACTGTAAAGGACTAGAAAACAAGTTTACTAAGTCAATGTTCGTTTCTGTACCAATCTGCTGTGTAGGTCATAAATTAATAAGTGGTACATCGGATATTGTTCCACTGATAGTCACATTATGGCAAATGTATATCAGTATGTGGTTCTACATATCAGACAGTTATTTGTGAAATCGTAAGAAATCGTTATTACCAAGACGTCGGTCACGATAAAGCTCTAGAAAAATATACCATTGTGTCCCAGGTTTAAAGTTTGTTGTCCCTTGAAATAGGTGGTTATATGTGACTAATTGGTAGCTAATGTCGTTTGTCAAATTTTCTATGATTTCGAGAAATGTTTGAATGACTGGTATCAGAGAGACATCAGGATTCGCTTCCGGACCTACTTCTAGACACTCGATGAGCGAATATTTCGTACACAGACGATTAAGTTGACTGGCAAGCATATTTAAAGTTTATTAAAGGTCATGAAGCTACCCTGCTGAAGTTATCTAGAATTGAGGTACTGAATACACATTTGTATTTGGTTAGCGATATCCACAAGCTCATCTATGTCGACATCTTCATCACTGCAGCCTATTATTTTGTGGCAGACTTCTAAGTTATAACTGATAAATTCAACATCTATTAGCTTAGTGATTGCTAATATACAAGTCGCGTTTCACTTAAGCTGATATAGCTTGTTGCTACTTAATTGCACGTTGGCTAATGGTCATTCCGTTCACCATTGATCCCATAAAAGATTATTTGGATGACTTATTGCTGCAAGAGTTCAAATTATGAATCAGCGTCAGGCCTAACTATTATTTCAGTAGTCTTTGCGGCGAGACCATAATTTATGGACGAACCGATCAGATATAAGATAATGAGTCACAAATTTTGGTGCGAAATTGATCCGTATATTTGGTTAAATAGTGTTTTGGCATTATAGCTGGTGTCAGTTCGTGATGAAAACCCTAAATCTAGTTTTTAACCCTAACCATCAACTGTAAATGAGGATTTCAACTGCTTCATAACCTTCATTTAGTCCTTATCAGTAGGTGTCCGCCCTCAAGGCCACTTCAGCGTCGCTCTAAGGTCGTCCATAAATTATAGTCTCACCGTCTTTACCGCTTTTCCATGCGATAACACTGAGTTCTCATAGATGGATTCGGCCATCTGGTTTGCGGTTTTGCATAACGAACAATCTCTCTAAGAGTTAGAACTATGACCTGAAATCACAAGCTTTGGTAGGAGTTAGAATTAATTAGATAGCACATCAATAGTAAAGAAGGTCTTCTTGCTGGCATGAATCCGCAAGCTAAGAAATGCCACCCTAGAAGAATTATTACTGCCAACCTCTTATAGTTTCATAAATTTTGTCCTTGGTATTTACCTGAGTTTCATTGATACTTTGTCCAACTATTTTTACGTATTCAAAGACCACACTTACTTGTCCATCCTTTCATTTCACCTATGGATCTTATTTGAAAACCATCTTTCATTCAAACAGAGACACTAAAATACTAAAAATTAGCAATAACTACTCATGTGAGTTTCAAGAGTGACTCCAAGAGGTGGATCTTCAAAATGGTGCGCTACTCATATGTTTGGTTTAATGATGGCCAAACCCTGAAGTTTGGCCATGGTAAGACGTATCTTTCCTCAGTATTTGCGAATTCAGTTTCCATCCGTTCTTCACAATATTGGTTGTTTCGCGCACATAAAGTTTAGTAATATTGGGTATGTATAGCTTTCTGTTCCTTTATTCCTAACCTTTCGTTACCGGGTAAGGCGGTTCGCATGACTTATCATTATGATTTTGGCGGAAGGTTAATTTTCACATCTTATGAGGTTATAATTGGCCTTGATAGATAACTTGAGAGTTTATAGAGGGACAGAACTTTGTGCGCACCCTGGCTGCCAACTTTTGGGAAATTTCGCGGTTTGGGTCTCATTTCCCCAAAATTGGTAGCTTGGGCAGGACTTGCTTTAATGCACATTTCCTTCCAAAGAACTCCATTTCTCTTCAAAATGCTTCTGAAGTTCTCACTACTAAAGGGACGTGAGAAATGTCAACAACCAGAAAAATTGTGGCGACACAAGTTAGAATTACGGTGAGCATGACATCCCGTCGGCTTTGTGTCGTTCGACTCTTAAATTCCATATGTTCTGGGCAGGAAAACAGACGATTTTCAAGTCTTCATTCATACCTTTCGAATGTAACCTCGTTGACTTCTCAAACCCAACTGCCTGAACTCTATCATCTCCATGTCTTCTCTCTTCACCTTTCAAGGTAATATGGTGTTCCATTTGTCTTGTGTGAAACAATCAGCTTTTACATATCCCACCGTTCTCATCCGTACTTCAGTTGCTTTGTTCATTGGATATTCTTTTGAGAGTTGCATTCCCTTTTTCGCAGCTATCCTTAACCATTGTTTGTATGTTCGACAGGAGTAATCTCAACCTACATAGCATTAGTACCGTACATGACAACTTGGGACAGACTCGCGGTGTACCGATTCATGTTTTGACATGACTTACCTTGTCATACCTCAATGTTTAAATCTTCCGAGTCTTTTCGAAATTAACGTTTTAGCAATATTTGGGAGCGAAGCGGAGTCCGGTGTAAGACAATGTGCGTCTAATTCACACTAGACAAAGCCATACATGCTCAGTTTTACTTCTCCTTCTACGTCCAACTTATGCGAAATTTGTTCACACTTCATAATACTAGTCTTTATATTCACACTGCATACCATTCTCAAGTGTGTAATGATAACCTGAACTTTGACGGATACCTTTTTTCAGTATGAATCATCCTCAAAAATGATTTTACTCACAGCAGAAGTATTCATAAAAGCAATGAGAAAACTGTTGTCACTCTATGGTACCTTGACTAAGTGAGATTCAACTAAAGCAAGAACGGTTGTGTTTGATGTGTTGGAACGACCAGGATCGACAGGTTTACTTAGTTTGCTGTCACTTTTGAAATAGCCCAAGTTTCAGTATTTTGTTTTCCCCTAAAAAAACTTTTACGTATTTCGAGTAATTCAGTGTGATATTGTTTGCATAACTAAGTGTAAAGTTCACTTAGAAAGTCACAATACATGAAATAAAGAAGTCAAGATTTGTGCATCAAAGACAAAAGATTGTGTACTTGTATTAAGCCTATGTTTTACATGTCTCTTAAATGAGTCAATTCAATCCCAGTCACACACTTGATAAAAATTAATAGGTTTTCAATGAGTATTTATTTAAGTGATTTAATTAGCTGCTGGATAAGTCCATTTCATGTATTATATACACTCAGCCGCTGTCTATCTTATCATCCAAATGCTTGCTGGCGTAGAAGTGGGTTTGAAGGAAGCTAGTGGTGGACAAAACTAGGTGCTGCATTAGTCACTTACTGTCTGGTTGTGGTAACAGATGGACACTCTAATCTGAGTCCGTGCGATAATCGTTGTCAACCATTGGGAACGAATCACAGCACAGAATTAGTTGTAGAGGAGCAGATGCGTCTGTTCTTTAGTTACCCTTAGCTTCTGAGCGTCGATATTATTTCATACTTTTCGTCCTGAAAATATATTTCTTATGAAACTATATTCTCTATCTCGAGTGATCTTTTTATTTATTTCCTCACTATTACTGATTGTACTACTTTAGTATCCATCCCCCTAATTTCACTCCTCATTATTGAGGGGATGTGGAAATTTGGTTCACTGTATATTTGTACTAGATCCTACGTTGTATATGACTGACTAGTTGTATGTAAAATATTCCATATGTTGTAATGAATTATACACTCTTGCAAGATCTTAAGGTTCACATCTCAAAAACTGAAAATATTATTACTGAAGTCAAAAGTTCTGGAGATACTTTCTAGATTTTCATTTTGGTGGTTGATGACGAATCAAACCGGTTCTTTGGTTATAGCTTTGACGTTTTATCCCATTATCCCTAATTGAAGAAACTATGTTTTCAAATGTTGCTGTATTTTTTAAAATTAAGTTATCCTTTCAAGAAAATCTTAACAAAGTTGGTTAACTCAAAAGATGAGCTAGTACAGTGTTTTTAAGTAGAAATTGTACTATCAGATATTATTATCACACTGATGTCAAACGAGTCAGAATATACTACAATTTATGTTCCATAATGTCTGTGTATATTTGTAAAAATTATTATGTAACTGTTTCGCTAGTCTTCCGAAATTCTATCAAATGAACTCCATGCTATTAAATACCTTTGTAGCATTTTGAAAGAACCGCCCGTTTGTTTATCAAATACATCTATGGTGTTTGGTGATGTTCCTCCTCTACCTACATGTACGGAATCATATGCCTTCCAGGTGGCTGGTCATTCTCGAGAAAATGCAAGTAGTTTCGAAAGTAAGTTGTTTAGTATAAGTAATTGACTGTTACAACACTATTTATAAACTAGTAATCTCTATTGCTAGGTAATGATACCCAGTATTTTTCACATAATTCCACAAGATGAATTTTGTGATTTTCGAAGTAACTAGTTGGATGTAAGGGTCGTATGATGCTAGATGTTTTGTTGGTAACTGGTTATTTCCTATTTATCCGGTCACATAATTATTTCGCTATACTTTAATTTGTGTAGGGAGGTGACAATTTTCGTTTCATTCTACAATCAGCATACTTACGTAGTTTACAAAAGTTGCAGAGTAATTGTGTGTCATAGGAATGAGAATGAAAGAATCGATTGCATGGAGTTTCTGAAACTTACTGATTGCATACAGGTTTCCTCACTGTATGAATCATACCGACAAACGTGGTGACTGCTTAGCCGTTTTAATGAAGTTGACTGTCATGTGATGGATTGCAATTTTGAGTCATACTTTATATTGTTCGTTTAATTCGTGTGGTAGTATGACTATCGTTCACACAAAGTGTGTTAGAGTGGTGAGTATAAGTACTTGTATTCGCTAAGTGATTTGCACCAAGTGAGCGCTAACTCTAATAATCGGTTACACTCGTAATCCTTTAAATGTATTAACAAGTGATTTTGTATTATAAGAGTCCAAGAGTTTATTCATATTAAAGGCAAATAATGTTGCAACATATCCATTATAACGCCCACGTGATTTACTCGAGCTTCTGGACAAAATCATCAATTTACTTCTCCCATCAGTTCTGTACACATGTTTGTCCTCGTCAAGTACTCATTTGTTAACCTTGAACATCTCTTTTATATGCTTGCATATGTACATCTGCTCATATTTATTTGTGATTTAATTAGTTTATCTTCTCGCACCGTCTGTCTTTAAATTAACGAGGAGTCACCTTGATTAGGACTAGCGTTGTTTACCGACTTCATACTTCATTTTCTGGTGCTTTTTTACATGATTGTCTACTTATAATTGAATGTATGAAATAAACATATCCTCATTGAATTTCGTAGTTCGGTTTTTCGTTGTATTAACGCGATACACTAAAATTTAATTACGAAACCAAATGTTAAATACATAAATGTTTCATCATTCCTCGTCAATCTCATATGTGGTCGACGATGGTCGGTGAAATAACTGCGTTATCTGCTCATTGCTCTTACACAGATACGCTAAGTAATCGTACACATACATTTTTAGTCTGATTAAAGATTTTATAAGCACCGATTTTGACACTAAGTAGTCTCAACCACTCATAACACAAGTGTTCTAATAATAAAACACATCTTCACAGAAATGTAGAAATATTATCTACACTTTTATACTATCAAATTTTAAATTAATGTATCTGATCATGATATTTCAAATGTTTTATATTTGTCTAGTACTTCGAGATAAATCTAAACCAATCATTTACAAGTCATTACAAGATCGTGAAAGAGGTATGCGTGAAGTGATGTTTTACCAGAATGTGTTTTCTGCGGATGCTTCGGAAGCACTCAAACGTCTTCGTCAATTTATTCCAACTTATTATGGAGTTTTTCAATGCTCAGGAACTAAAGGTAATGATATATTTTTAATGTTACTGTTTGTTTCATGTTCGTACCTCGCAACACCTTATTCAAGTCTTGGCATTTGGACTGGCCACAATAATCTCTATTGACTCTTTAAAACTCCCAGTTACTACCTGACTAGGGTACTTCAGTCGAATCTTCCTAATTAAGAATAAGATCAATATGGATCAGTAGATATTTCAATATACCCAAAATAACAATATCCACAACCCTATACTACTAAAAATAGCGTAGTTAAACTATTAGGAGTTATGTAGAATTTCCATCTCTTTGATTTAGCGATTGGCTCTACTTGGCTAAAATTTGACTAATCAGTGGATCGTCTTGCAGATTATTTTAAAAAGTTTATTATTGACAATGATCACGTTCCGTAATCAAGACACTAAGTGTTATTTTATATATCCATAAAATTTTTATTCTTGAAATGTGAAATATTAAATTTATTTCCGTCTATTCACTACTCAGATACTATTCATGCATGATATTTCATAAGAATATATATATTATGGTAAAAATGAATAACAAGAAACGACAAACTGTTAACTATTTTTTGAAATATCAACATGCTAAATTTCTAGTGTGTAATCAAATAACATTTAGCCTATGTGAATTTTTACATTAAAGATATAGAGTTTAATACGACTGTCTTCTTCTCACTTTCATATTAAGTTCTTGAAAAAACAGGTTCTATGTAGCTAACCAAAGGTGAATCAATCATAGTCGACCTCACGCACAGCACAGTTCACAAGGTTATATCATTTAACATACCGTACCAAGGATATTACAAATGGCGAGTCAAGTCCATAGCATATCTTAAGTTGTTACCAGTGGACAGAGAATTTTATTACAATGATTTAATTTATTGATTGGTTCTCTTTTTCCTATAATTATTTGTCACAGCTTACTATATGGCTTTAACTGATCTGGTGGCCGATTTCAAACAACCAAATATATGTGATTTCAAAATGGGTACGGTCACTTATTTTCCAGGTTCTTCACCAGATAAAATCTCCCGTGAACAGGTTAAATATATGTGGCGTCGTAAACTAGGGTTTGTTTTATCTGGTATGCAGGTAAGTTGTGTGTCGTTTTAATGACTTTTCAAGTATAATTTACACTTGGAGACTGTCTGTTTGATAGATTATGAGACCAAACATTTCGTTAGTTTGATGTGTGTTAGTGAGGTGGATAAAGAAGTGGTTCTTATTTTTACATCGTAAGTAAGCTTCACCGATACTCATTAAACATTAAAATTCGATTTATTTGGAAGTACTCAGGATGTCACAGATTAAATTATATATTACTCAGCTAGGTCTTTGTTTAATCTGTTCACTTGGTTCTACTTCATGACTGGTTTTTAGAACTAGGAGATATTAATAGGTTACTAGTAGATCCCTTTAAATAGTCGCTCATATATGTTGGACAGTTGAGTGAACAGTATTGGAATTGGGCCTTAGATACTTGACAATAATAACAAATCAGTTGTGGATCTTCGTCGACCAAGTTTCTTAAGATATTTTTTGTGGTATATCCAAGCATCATCAGCTATCTGGACTTGCATAGGTAGGTAAAGTAAGAATAGATTAGAGGAAAACTTTGAGGGACTAAACCAAAACATGACATCAGTCAATGACGTTATCGACAGTTGAAGTGAGCCATGTTTATATGCTCAGACTACTAGGTTGAGTTCTCTATGCTATTATCATAACCAGTGGTTGGAGACGTTAAGTGACATGACACATACATTCACCTTTTGTCTACCCTTAAATCTTGAGTTTTAGAATTATTTTATTTCGAAAATTTATCCCTCTCTAATTATATCTACTACATCTAGTATTCTGTCTTAGTTTGCACTGATATTTTCATTTTGTTATCCTCATATTTTGTGACAACTTGAATCAGTATATGCGTTTGCAAAGTTCTATGTTGCTTATGATTGCCTGACATGTGACATTTTTATAAACCTTTATCATAGACTAAGTTTACTAAACAATAGCATGCTTTCTTTCACTGTGTACATTCTGTATATATGATTCTTATAATTAAACTGACAATTACTTTGTTTTATAGTGTAGTTCCTCAGTTTATTGTAGCTTATAGTGTCTGACAAGATCTCTGCACGGATTCTAGAAGCTCGTTTGGCTTTCGCCAACTTACGTCACCTATGGCGAAGCCAAGATACCCGTCTATCAATTAAGAGACGAGTATACTGCGTATCAGTTCGTTCTGTTCTACTTTACGGCGGCGAAACATGGCCATTAAGAGTACAAGACACTCGTAAGCTACTAGTATTCCACCACAGATGCCTTAGAAATATTGCTCGCATCTGCTGGGATCACCGGGTAAGTAATAGTGAGGTTAGACGTATAGTATTAGGGAATGATGGTCAGTTGATGAGGTTATGAATCTGCATCGACTGAGATGGTTGGGCTATGTGTTACATATACCTGAACTCCGATTGCCACGACGCACAATGCTAACCGGGTATGGTTGGGAGAAAGTTAGGGTCGGCCAAACCAAAACGCGGTATCAGTGCTTGAAGACACTAACTTCCAGTCTAAGCCATGTCGGTAGATGCAGACTACTTGGTTGGGGTCCGTGTGACTATCGTAACCAGTGGTTGGAGACTCTGTGACATGGCTCAGAATCGATCACAATTGCGTAGGTGTATACACTCTCTATCTTCCCTTAAACTAAGAGATTAAAATCGCTTCATATCTTTCTACTAATTAATTCTTTCTTTCTGCACTATATCCTTACATAAAATCTTCCTTTATATATATTACACCATTGAGTTAACTGCTTCTATGAATCCGGTGTTCGTCTTGTTGTGCTAATGAAGTATGGCAAGTTCGATGCGCCGTGTCCTACGTTGTAACTGACTGACTATTGTAGCTTATTGATAGTATCCAGAAGAAATAATTACCAGCTAGAACTTGAAGGCTTGACAGTTGAATCGCAGTTACTATACAGTAAATTGATTAATGTAATCTATATTATTATTCTTTTCTAAAAAAATACATTCTATTTTACAGATATCTGATACAAAAAATCATTGTTTAATTAAGTTTCCTAAAGCATTTGGACGTACTTTATCTCCAGAACAAGTTTATTCAATTGGTTAGTCGTTATTATTCGTGCTAATCTTGTCATAATACTGACTGTTAAATACTTGGTATCTATCATTCTCTCTATTCATTTAAAATAGTCAGTAAAGATGTAATTATACATGACATAATTTCATTATATGAACAAAATGAGTTACACTGCAAATTATGAAGATACAAAAGAAGAAAGATAGGGAAGTAGTTAAGAGTAATAACAATGAAGAAAATCGCTCTTACAAAAAGTTTCTTCTTATCTTCAAGGAACATGCGGATGCCAACGGTACTTAGAGAAGTCTTCTTAAAAGGCTATTTAATAGGTTGAAGAATATGAATAGAATCTGATACACTACTCCTACAAAGACAATAACTTTTATCCGTTTCGATTATCGGGTTCCCCCTCTGTCGTTGTTTTCTCGTAATCAAGATATTTGCAACAGACAATCGTCCATAACACTTTGTTCGGCACCCGCGATAATTATTGAAAAGGCAGAGTTTGTTCCAAGGAGAAACTAAATAATTCTATTAGTAACCATATCACTTGAAACCAGAATAAAGCTTTTGGTTTCTTTTGCCTGCTCAGTACCTTGGGACTGGATTGAGAGTCATTTTGGCATATGTCAGAAGTTTATTTGTGATTTGCTAAAAGTGATCTAAACGATTGAGATAGTTTATATTTCAGATAAATATTTTTAATGGTTTTGCATTCTCTGAGCAATATCGTTGGGATGATTTTGTCCCGTACGGTATTATGGAATATTCACGATTTAATTATTATTGAGTATAGAGAACATAAGACCTCGTAGAAATAGATCTATGGTTCTTAGTCTTATGCAGGTGATAAATATCTGCTCAAATAGTAAAATCAACATTTTAGATAGATTGAAATAAAAAATCAGTTTGTCATTTGATTGGCCAAGCTATTCACATATTGGACCAATCGTATGTTGGGGTGATCCAGAAAACTCGCAAAAGACAAGAAAGGCTCAGGAAACACTAAGAGGCATTTCATCCAATCAGCGTTCACTTGACGTTTTAGCCAGAAACATCAAGAAAGTGAAAAGTCACATGTAGATTTTCTGATTGGCTGATTTCTATACAGCTACTATGTTTAGTAGCATTCCAGAATCTTCGGGGAACCTAAGGACATCTAAAATACTATAAAAACCCTATATTTTCTGTACTAGAACGAACCTTTGGAGTCAAGTGCTTCTCGCATATTTTGCACCTTTTCTCTCGTGTTCAGGTCGCTGTGTAGTTATAGCTTGAGGGTTGCGAGAATAGCTTAGGAATCGAATATAGTGTTCAATTAGCAAGACTTATCGGAGGATAACTCGAGATTCTTTCCCAACTCAGTTACAGTGTATCAGTCAATTACTGAATAACACCATGCATCCCAAATGGTATTCTTTATATACTTACTTTACTTAAACAATATGTGGTGTCCATCTATGGAGAGTACTTACCTTCCTTATTATGTTGGCTGTATTCGTCTCAGATGTATTTCGCTTGCGGGTTACAATGAAAACTAGGAATCACTGGACAGCTGTTTCACCCTAATATGAGGATTTCTCAGCAGCACGCACCCAATGATTTAGTCAGGGATCCTGCACAGGTTTTGAAGTTTTACAGAGAACACTTAATCATTTTTATTATGTATCGAGACTTTTTGGTTCTGTAAGACGACTGCTGCAGTAAAGATCAATAAATCTTCGTCGACTATTTAGATTCGACATTGGGTACTTGCAAGACATTCTAGAATATATGCCTCAATTAAATTAAGGATTTTTCTTTATCAATCTAAACATTAGTGTAATTTTTAAAAAAAATTACGGATGAACCAACCATAGTATTTAACAGGATGAAAGTGTTGACATCAAAGAGCCTGACAATAATTTTGTTACATAAAAGTTGTTTTAACTCATTTATCAAACATAGATTAATGTACTCAGCTTTAAGGGACAGATTGTGTAAAGATTTTTTATACTACTATTTGAGCATTGAACTAGACGGTACCGTGTTCAAACACTACTACTCAATCTAATGGTTTCAAGTTGTTTACGTGTAATTTAGTGTTTTTTTGTGTGTAATAATTCACGTAGTTATTTTTCTGCATTTCACAGGTATAAAATCATTTCTAGGTGCAGATCCTACCTATTGTGTTAAACTTGCTCAAAATTATATCATACAACTTGGTCGTATTTTAAATTGGTATGTCGAATATGGTGCGAAAGAGCTCACATTCTGTCGTTCTTCAATTTTATTGATTCACGAGTCATTACCAAGTAGTAATAATAATAATGAACATTGTCCTTCCAAATCATGTTTTGCATCATCATCAACACCCAGCACCACCGTCATTAACAATAACAACAACAACACATATCATACTTCATGTACTACAAGAAATCCAACTGTGAAAACTTCAACAATATTGAATAATCAATTCGTCAATAACTTCAATAATATTCCTTCTATTCATAAAATCAATACTAATAACGGTAATAACAATGATACTCCTAATACTACTACTACTACTACTAGTAGTAGTAGTACTTCGACCGTACATGCTCAAGTTTATTTAATTGATTTTGCACATTGGTCTAAGAAAAATTACTCTACTCAATGTAATAATAATAATAATATTGAATATAATAAAAATTATTGGACATGTGAATTAACTAATGGTTTTCGTTATGGATTAGAAAATTTAATTCAATTAATGCATTGTGTTGTCAATAAAGAAAGTGCAATTTGTATAAATTAATTAATAAATAATTATTTATTAACTTTCATTATGTATCAATATACATACCTACTTACTTACTTACTTACTTAGCATCTCTATGCTAATGTGGTATGACAACTTGAACTGATGTACGTACGTATGTACGAAGTTCTACGTTGTTACTAACTGACTTAATTACGCCTGTTACTCCCTATGGAGCATAGGATCAATCATATATATATATACTAATAGTTTATTAATTAGTCTTAGTTGATACTTTTTTTATTGAAATCAATAACATACTACTGATATATGTACACAATAATCTCTCACTAATGAAGAGTTGAACACTGTCGTTCATTAACATATCTACAGCCGCACACACACACAAACAAACACTTTCCAAAATCCACTATTGTTATATACTTTTTTTTCTGCTACGATTAATCATATTATTATCATTATTATTACTCATATATTACATTGTATGTATATTACAAAGAGAAAATGGTTTCTGCATTTGGAATATTTCGATTTATCCTTCACTTTCTGTGTCTTTCCCCTTTCTCTCTAATGTATCCCAAAATGACTACAATATTGATATCCAGTATGTATTTATTTGTTTACTACTATCCGTTTCATATTAATCAATGTTGGTCATTTCTTTTTTTGTCATGTTTGCTTATTCATAATTAATCAACAACAACAATAAAAAAGTTATTTATTTTATGCTTTATGTCGTTTTTCTTGTTGTTGTTCTCGGTGGTAGTGGTGGTAGTCAAAATAGGTCACTTTATACATTATTTGTTGTTGATTAGTTAGACGGGTTGTAGATTTCAATTCCAGTCGAGATAATTGATTAGTATGATTAATTTTAACACAATTTAGATATGGTTCTCAAGTTTACTTTATACTGTTTAAATAGAGCTTAGCATATATGTTCATTAGTTTAAATGATCAAATCAGATTAGCATAATAAGATGAATTTATAAAGATGACTAGTAAACTAGGTCGAGATGATGATAGTAGTAATGATCATGAGAAAGATGGAATATTAACAGCATAGTTCAGAAAGACAATGAAATATATTACTTATGCCTGTTAGTCCTCGTGGAGGAGCATAGGCTGCCGATCAGCACTCTCCATCTAACCCTATCCTGGACAGTCCTTCCCAGTTGTTATTTATGCATTTGATATTTGCTTTTATTTCCTGACGTACTGTGTTCTTTGACCTTCTTTTCTGTTTCCCTTTAGGATTTCAAGTTAGCGCTTGCCTCATGATGCAGTTTGGTGATTTCCGTGAAATATGTATGTATAGAAATGAGAGGATTCTAGAATTCAAAATCAAGTTGATGATAAAGAATCAATTACTCTGCCCCTCTGTACTTGATTCTTAAGTACATCACACGATATCTTCAATTTTAATCAATTAAACTACTTACGTAATCTATTAGTGTGCCTTAGGATTGCCGTTATTAATAAATAAGTCTTTATGAACGTTTCTTACTTTCTACCTCTAATCGATTGACATATTTAATAGTTATGTAAAGTTTTATGACTAGAATTAAGTTACAAAACTCATGACAAATAAATCACTATTGGGAAAGTGTACAGTTTTATCGACACCAACCAATTTTTTGGTTTTCATTGACATGGATTGCTAACATTGCCTGTCTACATAATTGTCGGGGATGTTAGATCCCCAGAAGTTACTTCGTAAATGTCTTATTTTTGGAGATTTGAATTTCTTGTCTTCGTGCCAAAAGCACCCATTTTCACCTTCATGTCGTACTTCCCACTTGGAAGGACTTTAAATACTATTGGTTCGTTGTCTTTTTAATATGCTATTTTGTAACGTTTCCCAAAGACATTTTTATGCTGTATATATACGCTTGAGTTGTGGTTGTTGCTATTCGTGCTTCTGCCTACTTGTGGAATATATTCCCCTCTTCCAAACTTGAATTTCTCTCTCTCTCTGGTTAGCGGGGTTGGGATTCATCGGAATAGTTAGTTGATTTGGTCATTGTGTCAGTGAGTCTTCGTTCCGTTCGCAGATTAGGTGAACTCGTAATCTCTTCAAAACATAGCAGTAATATTTATGTTTCGAAAGAAATCACTCTCAAAATTTCTACCGGTACCAGCTGGGAAAATGGATATTTTGATAATCATACCGAATTCTTAAATGCCTTGGATTCTGTTGAATCAGGCGCTATGAAATTATCATCTTCAATTGCCAGTTCTCAAGAACATACTGAAGAATTCTGTCAATATTTATGTTTATTTCTCTATCGTCGTTGTTTGTAGTTCGAATAAACTTTTTGATTGAGATGATGAACCGATTGATGTTAGACCACCACCTTTGCAAGCACTGGACGGCCATTTCGTCCTATTGTGGGACTCCTCAGCAGTGCGCACCCACGATCCCGCTCGCGGGATTCGAACCTAGGGCCTTCGGTCTCGCGCGCGAACGCTTAACCAACTGGACCACTGAGCCGGCATCCAATGGTGATAGTGATCTCAATCAAAAACTTAATAATCTCCACAACCCCTATACTAGTAATAAACTTTTTGCCTTCTTATTACCTGGGGACTAGGTCAAGAGTCATTGGTGAAACAGTACAATTTGATTTAAAGAGTATTTTGTCGAAATATTTCGATTTGCATAATTAGATGTGGGTTATAACAAATTGCTTAGTAGTAACTGATTTCCTGTTCTCTAATTCTTGTTAATACAGTAACTAAGCTAAATGACTTCAGATTCAATCCAGCAACTAATTGTCATTGAATTGGTTCAGTTGTAGGATAAACTATTCCAAACTCAACGACCAACAGTTTTGCATAGTGATTTTCATTTTAAGCTATTTCTTGTCAGTAATAATGACAGTTAGTGTGTAGAAATTAGAGGACGATAACGTGGGGTAATGACCTTGTGGAATAAAGCGGTGATTACTGGACTTACTTTTCAGGTATAGGGTAAGCATAGTCTAACATTTATATGGCTTAGTAAGAGATAATGTACGGGGGGGAAGTATAGTAATACTTTTGTTGTTCAGTCTAGTCTTTTCCTTATTAGTATATCAATTTACTTCATCATAACGGAATTGGTAAACTTTCAATCTCATTGAAAGGTTTTAGTAATTAAATGATATAACAAACATTAGAGATGAGTTGTCATTTAAATCAATAAAATGAGATGGTTCTTTCACTTTCAAACTATTTTGACTAATAAATGTGCAATGAATAAAGTTAGACATTAACCGAGTTAAATCCCAACTCAGTGATCTAAAGATTATGCATTCACTAGCAAGATCGAAAATCCTGCATTCATTTCTTGTAGGTACATTGTCAAGGAGTCTCATAAAATGAGGAACGACCCCTCCAATACTCCTAGGTTTCCAATGATAGTCTCAGTCAGTCACACCTGGTTATGGCAATACTTGTAAGTGATGATACTATTGAAATCATCGTATATATATTTAGGTTACCTTCCTGTATATCTAAAACATATCACTGTTTCATAATTTATTAAATTTAAAAGTCAAATATACTTTATCTTTAAAATAAACATCACATTCAAGTTGGTACTGCCATTCATTGTTTTGGATTTTCCCTATAACAATAAAAATATTGTTTAGATAGCCAAGAATAATACAAAAGATTTTGAGATGATAGAGATTTATAGCTCAGATGAATGATTTTGGTGGAATTTTATTCTTTGAGCTGGATGGTTTGGTCGTGAAGCTTTCGTTGTTCTTCTGAACAACATCATCAGCGCAAACTTCAGGTAAAAATGAAGTATTCGAATTTCTCCAAATATGGTTCACAGCTTATCCCGTACACCTCGATGTTGATGTCGTTCAGAAGAACGATGAAAGCTCCACGACCAAATTATCCAGCTCCGAGAACAAAACTCCACCAAAATACAAAAGATGTACTTTATCAATAATTTATTTTAACCTTCAAAGAGATTATAACCATTTTAGTTCAGTATAATATTATCAGTGTTTAAACTTGTATAACTCATAGGTACATACATGTGCTCGTTTCTTTCTGGTTAGCGATTTTTTTAGCGGTGCAGTTGGACGATCTGGACTTCGCAGATGATCTGGCCCTTCTATCCCAAACGCAACAACAAATGCAGAAGACGAACAGTGTGGCAGCAGCCTCAGCAGCAGTAGGTCTCAATATACACAAAGGGAAAAGCAGGGTTCTCCGATACAACACAGAATGCACCAATCCAATCACAATTGACGGGGAAGATTTGGAAGATGCAAAAACCTTTGCATATTTGGGCAGCATCATTGATGAACAGGGTGGATCTGATGCAGATGTGGAGGCGCGGATCGGCAAAGCAAAAGCAGCATATTTACAACTGAAGAACATCTGGGACTCAAAGCAACTCTCTGTCAACCAACACCAAGGTCAGTATTTTCAATACAAATGTCAAGACAGTTCTACTGTATGGGGCAGAAACCTGGAGAACTACGAAGGCCATCATCCAGAAAATACAGGTGTTTATTAACAGTTGTCTACGCAAAATACTTCAGATCCGTTGGATGGACACTATTAGCAACAACATACTGTGGGAAAGAACAAACCAGATCCCAGCGGAGGAAGAAATCACGAAGAAGTGCTGGAAGTGGATAGGACACACATTGAGGAAAGCACCCAACTGTGTCACAAGACAAGCCCTCACGTGGAATCCTCAAGGCCAATAGGGGGTGAAGAGGAAGACCAAAGAACACATTACGCCGAGAAATGGAAATAGACATGAGAAAATGAACAAGAATTGGATGGAACTAGAAAAGTAGGCCCAGGACAGAGTGGGTTGGAGAATACTGGTCGGCGGCCTATGCTCCATTGGGAGTAACAGGCGTAAGTAAGTAAGTAACATACATGTTCTCATTAACTATTCAATGAAGTTAATTGTTAAACAATGGATGAACTTGTGACCATGTAATGATTAAATTTACAATATTTCATTAATATATGCTGGTAATACATTTATTAATTATGATGATTGTAATACTAATACAATTCAACCGTTAATGTGCTTTTATTTTATTTAAATTAATAAGTTGTCACCAGTGGAATACAATTCGTGTCAGGTGGAGACAGTTATCCAATTCAGACAGTGCATGTAGGGTTGTGCAATATCATGGATCATTTGAAGTTAAACATTAACACTGTTGAATTCCAGCTCAGTAGTCTAGAGGTTAAGCGTTCGAGTGCGAGGCTGAAGATCTTAGGTCCGAGTGTCTCATGAGGGATCGTAAATCCACACTACTGAGAACTCCCATATTAGGAAGAAACAGCCATCCAATGCATCCGGGTTTCAATAGTTGTCTAACTTAGATTGACTCATAAATTCAACTATTAAAATTACTACAATCTCTGCTAATCTCCTTTCTGATAGAGCAAATAATGGAGCATTTAAGTCGACGAAATAACGACAGCTTTATAATCTAATTAAGCACTAAAAAGTTGAGTTGTTTTTTCGGTTGATTCATCACATTACTTTTCGCCTGTTCCATTATTATTATTTTTTGTTTTGTTTTCGAACTAACATTGAACAATAATATGTGCTAATCTAACTTTGTTACATATAATCCGAATGGAATTCATTCAGTTTGCAGAAAATGGACGTACTACTGATCGGTTGATTATTATTTTTTTCTAAATCATGGAAAATCAATCATTGAATGGTTCCATAATATGATAAGTAATTAAATCGCT